CTATGCCAAAACAGTGCATGGCTTCCATTTCTGAAGAAAATCTGACAACGCCCATACCGGGGAGCGAACTCACGATCAAGAGATTGTCAGTCGGACACGCTACCGATTACGCCAGAGACGCCGTTATATATAGTTTTGTACTATAATTTATATATAAACTTAGTTTCAAATATTTTACACTTAAGATTAAAAATAAACAAAATAATTCTTCTAAAATAGTTTCTTGCAACCCCCCTTCCTTCTCTCAAATACTATTCTCTAAAACTATATGTAGACTTTACCTAAAGCATGGAACGATCAAATTAAAAAAAAATTATGACGTACATGTTGCACAAGGTGACGTCATAATAGAGTAAATGAATGTTACAGTTGATGAAGCATGGGAATGGAGAAAATTCGCTTTAGGTTTATGTTTAATTACAGTAACAATTAACAGTCAGCATAATTATAACAATAGTGTTGCGTTTTGCGTGTACTATGCCTGAATAAAAGTCAGGGTTTGACACATAGTGCACTCGCCTCCGGCTTGTGCACCATATGTCAAACCCTGACTACTATTCAGGCATAGTACATGACATCAGAGAATACTTTGACTTGCAGTTTCTCTGTACTTGAGACTGTCACATTAAAATCCCCATAATATTATTTTGTTACACTATTTTAATATTATGTAAATATCCCGTGTGGAACCCCTTCGTTTTAGTCAGTTTATCATTGTAAATATCCTTTACTGAACCTCAATTCACTGGACCTTTAAACCCGCCAGTCCGTGCAAGATAGTTTGGACACGGCAGTCCAGAGAGGAGGACGCTTTTACCCCTCTCTCATACATATAGTAGATATCTGATATGTTTTGTAATTAGAAATTATAACTACACCGAGTACCAGTATTACTTGCAGGGCTTCCTCTGTATTTCCTGTATGTTATGGTCCAGCTTTTCTGAGGTAAGGTTTATGTTTATAATTTTATCTTTATTATTTTCATTTTGCGTTCATTTGTCCTAAAACATCCAGTAACCACATTTCTCATCATTTTAAGCATGTATGTTTCGTTTATAATTGTATTTCTATGTATAGTAACACGTATTTGAATATTTCTAAAGTATGGTGTACAATTTCCGTCATAAAAGTTTGTCCGTGTAGTAGCAATTCGCAATATTGCATTTGTGTAAGAGTTGCATGTATAGTTTAAACAACTCGTTTGTGTAATTAGTCTTATCTAAGACGTGTACATTATCCACAAGTTTGATAATGAGTGAGGTATGTATTTGTGTCAAGCCACAAGCGCTTATTAATAAAACTTGTATATGTATGTTGGAGCAGGTTCCATCCATCCATGGTATAAGTCTACGTATAGAGACGGTGTGGAAAGGCCACCCAGTGCCTTGTAGAGAGTCAGTCCGTTCCGAGTGGAGTGGTGCGTAAAAGGGAAACGACCCTTGGGCCTTAGAGTTCCTCTAGCCAGTATTGTGGAAAGCGGCAGCACGACGCAATAGGACAAGCAACAACGGACTTTGTTGAATTTGTACACTTATTGTAATTAAATATGTAAATTATCTTTTAAAAAAGTATTTGAGTTATATCTAACTTTAGTAAAGTAAAAAGAAATAGTAAAACCGCTCGACAATCTGTGACAGAGACGTAGATCAAGCTATTAATATGAAATTAAAAATTAAATCAGCGTGATTCGACTAAAATCGAGTCATATTTTTGAATGAACCAATCAATATTTTCCAATTAAAAACGATGAGGTCTCATACTAAGACGCAGTGATGAATATTTATAAATAAATGTACAAAAATCACAGGTGCAACCCCTTGAAAATCTAAAAAAAAAACTCAACGTTAGCTGTTTAACTGTAATTTGTAATTTTTATACACTTGAAGCTATTGCCTCTACCATTTTGAAATGTGCTTGGAAAAAGTTGTACGCTATTGCATTTCTCCATAATTTTACATTATTTCAATGCATATAATCTCAATGAACAAAGTTTAATATCGAAAGATGGCTAAATTTTATATTACTCTTGGGCATGAAGAAGTTGCTCCTAGCACTTTTCGGGTTTAGGAATTTGTCCTAAGCAAAAGACAATCAATTTCATATCAAACAGTTTCATGTATTCGTATATCGAGAAATGAATTATTTGTCAAATCATGATGTGAAGAAAACTTGAAATGGTAAATAGAATGATCAATTATATTTTATCTTACAATAAATTAAAGATATGGGGTATATATGAAAATGATAATTACTCTCATACCTATATAATTCTCATTAGAAGACATACGGAAGTGTTGCTTTTTAAATCAGAATATCTAATTGTTTTGTGAGTTTTAAAAATAATATGCATCCATCAATAAGAGTTATCTTTCCATTATCGCCCTTGAAAATAGTTTAATGTAACAAAATATTTATTTCACGTTTATAAATAATTTTGCATCTGAAATTTCTATAACAATTAAATAAATACACGTCATATATCAAGAGATATAAATATCTCAATTTACACCGTTTACAGGAACTAGGTATAAATGTTTAAAATAAACTTTTATGAATAGAGAGGTTTAGCAAGCTCACTTGTACGTGTAAATGTACGTGTAAACTACAAATTAGAATTACGCGTACATTAACATTGTTTTCTTGTTTAGCAAAATATAACCTGTGCTTGAACTTGTATGTTTTTAAATGTATAAGTGGTTTAATATGTATAAAAATCATCCAAAAAGAAATGATTTTAATAAATATATAACCGTTTTGCATAAATATATGCATGTACTTATTGAGAAAAAGATTAAACAGATTTCTTATATTTTTAATCGGTCAGAGTCTTTATAAGAAATCTGTTTAATCTCTTTCTCATAAGTACATGCATATATTTATGTAAATGGTGATATATTTATAAAAATCATTGCTTTTTGGATGATTTTTATACATATTAAACCGCGTTGGGTTGCTAAGCCTCTCTAATAATTAATAAAAATAGTGATTATAGAAACTAGAAATCAACATCTGTACAATAGCACATATTCGGACTGCAAAGTGGTCGTGATAAATGAAATCTGTAAAATCTGATATGACCATCCGATGAATTTCGTGGAAAATGTCTTCAGAGAGTTACTTTTTTTATCAAAATTGTTTTCAGAAAGTTGTCTGTCTTATTATGGGTATTGCATCCTAATATTGAACCCTAGTGGCAGTTGAAAGGCCAATTTAAATTGTATCAGTTATTCAGACATTTGATCGGTTACTGACAAAGTCTCCTTCAGGACTGTCTTTCAATAATAGTTTAGGATGTATATTTTTAGGTTATCAAAGTTTTTAGTGTGTGTTGTGTGTTTTTGCTTGATATCATTGAATACAAATATCCTGCACTTAAACTCTAATTTTAGAGAACTGATTGGAGTATCAAACATGCATATCGTCTTGATACTGCTCATCTTTTCTTTACAGGAATAAAACGCCTGATTCAGAATTCGAATTGATCGACTACAATAAAGGAAATAACAAAACTTACTATTTATACAAACACAAATGTTTGACTTTACTGAAAATTTAAGCATATAGAAAATAAAAAAAATATGAGCAACCGGTGCGTAGTAACTTTACTTACATTCTTTAACATACACTTGGTTTCAATGCATAAGAGTGCAAATGCAGATATGTATCTATTGAAAATTATACAACTATAGAATTTATAATGAAGATTCAGATGGATTAATGCTGCAAAAAATACATCTAGATTTACAACTTTTTTTTTATTTTAAAACAACGAACGTTTTACATTCAATTATATAAAATAAACATTTTTTTTTCTTTTTAAGAAGGATAAGAAAGTAAGGCTTGGTAAGATTGGATAACTCTGTTATCTCCCTTTGCCACGCTCTTAGTGAAGTTGATAGAGTTCACATTTAAGTAGGTCAATACAATTTAATGTAAACATTAAACATTTGATATAGTACATGTATTTCATATTTCCTTTACATTTATTAAATGTCCTTTTCACATTACATATTATACCACATACATTTTAACCTGTTTCTAATATCCTTTTTTTGTTTTACAAATACTTGAACCCAAATAAATACACAAAAATCACATTGTTTACTTTTTCAAGAATATAATCCTAACATCTGGTACAAAAGCTTTTTTCCTCGGCATTTAATTCAAAAAATGAAATAAATCTGAAATCTAGCTTGCACTGGGTTGGAACTAAAATTAAAGAAAGAAAATAGATTTTATAGGCTATATAGCATTTCAGGATTTTTATATATTATTAAATATGATACAATAGTTATGAATTATTTTGATTAATTAACACAAAGTACTCGTTGCAAACTATTTTACTTTTAAAAATTTGCAAGGATCCCGAATGCTTTTTATCCAACGAGTTGCTTAAACGTCATATCCATCTAAAGAGCATGTGAGATTTTTTTTTATCCATATAATACTTCCAATATTTACATTGGATTTCGTTTTACTTCATCACGCCAATGAAAAAAAAAAAACACGACACTTAACTGTGGGAAGTCCAAAGATATTCAGTGAGTCCTATTAATAGGAATAAGGGGGAAAATATGACATAAATATAGTTATATCAATGAACTGGAAACATTTATTTATTACTGCTAAATTTAATCGCAGAGCATGCGCATAGTATATGAATCTTGTGAAAAGTGAAACTATCAATATGTGTGGGTTCAAGTAAGTTTAGTTTCCTTCTTATGAATTTTCACTTTGCAGTAGAGTATCTGAAATTAATATTAAGTCATTGTAGCAGTTTGTCAAATTTAGTATTCATAGAAATCACTTATATGTTATAGCTACATGTAAACAATGTATTATGGGTGAAAGGTCATATTAAATATAGTCATGAAAACAGAAAAGATACAGAATCCTCAGCAGAGACATTTGGATCCTTGCTTTGTTAATGTGATCATTCGTTAAAGTCAATAACTATTCAATACATTTATGAGAAATTAGCTGTAGATCACACACTTAAACGTAACTTTCTACCAATTAAATAAAAATAACATTGATGATGAATTTAAAATTCGGCTAAATATTACTTATGTAAATTTTCATATATAATTTAGCATTACAATCATTGTTAAAAAAAAGACGAAGATCAAATGCACGATTTTGATAAGACGATTGAATTGTAGAAAGAACTATTCTTTTTATATTTCCACCACGCCATAACGAGGCAGACAGGAAATGACTGGTCGTAAATTTATAAAAAAAATATTTGATGACGAATCTCTATAACAAAGACTTGTTCTTAACAGATTTTACAACATAGGAAAATTAATCTCATATGGTATGTACTTAAAGTTATTTAAAGCAGCCATAATCTAATTGCTTAATTATTTCATTTCCTGGTCTTTATATTAAAGGAGTTTTCCACTTAAGTATAGTAGCGTGGTCCCTTTTTTGTCCTTATTTTACAGAATATACATGAGGATATGGCATTATTTTTAGTTTCATTGTGTATAACAAAGTATTTCTAATTAACATTTTGTACAATCATTATTAATAACTTGGAATATCAAGAAATACAAGCCGATTTCCAACACCTACTAAACACATAAATTCCGGAACATTTTCTTTCGAACAGAGTGCGGTTATTCTTTTACATACAAATGGGCGGAGACATTTTAATAAGGTATTATTTAAAGGAAGAAACGATGAACTGTAACGTGAGATAAGACATGATAAACAATATAAGATGGGTAATAATAATCTTCAATACGCTTGAATTTTATTTTGCATCATTCGTATTCTTCTTAACTTGGGGTGGGCGGGAGTCTTTTTTAGTTCTTGAGGTATTTTGTCGGGGTTTTGAAAATCCTCCTAATCACGATATTGTTTTAAATCTATCATTGTTGAATAAAATGTCAAGATATTTTACCCACTACAATAACTTTCTTTTATATGATTGTTTGAAAAGCATAAGCGATTGCATAATGATTAACGGTAAATATACACAGACATACACTCCTATATTCTTTTGTAAAGATTTTTTTTTTGGGGGGGTGGGGTGGGGGGTGGGTGGGTGAGGGTGAAGAACTCAAGAATTATCCCTGAAAAGAATGGGTCACCCGTCCCCCAGATACTACCTGCCTCACATGTATATATATTTCTTAACTTCGCTGTAAATTCTACAATGAATATTCCGATTTACTCATCGATTATAAATACATTCGAAGTTTTTCCGAGTTCATATAAAATATCATATGCATGCAGCTAGCATCCAAAAACGTGACAAGAGTATAAAGTTGCTTTGAATATTGAAGTGGTCAGTATGCGAGTGCATTTGTTTAGACTGATTGAATGTAAAGAAATTATTACGTCTTTGGTATTTTCTGCTTATATTTTTTTGTTTCTTTTCGCAAGAAGTTGAATAAATGTGTATTTATAAACATCTACGCGTTGGCTTTTCGCAATGAACAGGAATATTGCAATTACGTGCATGATAATTAAAAATGTCCCGGAAAATTGTTAAAGTTTAACATAAGCGATATTCATCGAAGTCTACTGATATTCTTTTTTATTTTAAAAATGAAAGCTGGTGTCTGCACCTTTCAAATACGAGCTACATGTGTCGCTTCCTACAGAAAACACGTTTTCCAAAGGTATTTCCTGTGGCGGAATGGAATCACGTGTCATATTATCTATTCTTAGCAGGTCAACAAGAGATTAATCCTATGTAAATGTACTCACTGAACAGATTCAAAATCATGATACTTTTAAGTAGAAGACATAGAGCGCAGATTTGTTCAACAAAGATATTTTCACAAAATCTGTATAAATATAATATACACATTATATTTTGATGTCGACTCTGAACAAATCTGCGCTCGATGTTAACGAAAGCTCTGAAGTGGGTACCTGCCACAAATTTCTTTTGATATTCATGAAAATCAATGGACCCCACCTTCAAAACACGGCTTGGCGTGTTGTCTATTGGAATTATTTTATATTTTTATACGTTGGCGCAAATACTTCATACATAAGAGAATAATAAAATTTACTTTTTAAGTGTCTTAATGAAAGTTAAAAATTTGACAAGTAACCGGGGACCAAAGATAATGGCTTATTGAGACTTCTTCTTTTCTCTAAGAACATGAAATGTGTTTCTTTTTTCTCAGAAAAAACAGTAATGATGGTTCAAAGAAAACCACAGCTACAAATCTTGAAGTTTTTGGTGAAAGCCATTGTCTTGATTGTTGTTCATCAGTTGATCTGTGTAAAGGTATGTAAAAATGTAACTGAAATGTTTGCAAATGATTTTTTATCATTCTACAGTCATAATTATACTAGTTAAATATATATATCTTTTATGAGTAATTTTTGACGTATTATTATATACATTTTTTAAATTACCACATTTTCAAAATGAGCTAAGGAATCTTCAAATTTCAAAGAAATATATTTTTAAATAAATATACATCATTACTGGAGAATTGTACTTTTTGATTTATTGGGAAATATGAATTAAAACACAGGAACTTGGATCCTGTCACCTGATATCTTTTCCCGTTTTAAATTTAAAATCGACACATTTCTTCCTGTCTTCAAATTCTGATATGCATATATATGCATATATATATCAAATTCTGATATATATATATATATATATATATATATATATATATATATATATATATATAGAAAGCACAATGAAATTCACTTCTACATGGATACCCACTTCCGCCCCAGCCCGGGGTTGAACTCTCGACCTTCGGAATCTGTCTCCTAGCAGTGCAGGAACAGCGCGCTAGACCGCTCGGCTATCTAGGCAAGTTTTAAAACTTGCTTTCGATGCCGCTGGAATTCTCGCGGCGCACCCCGGGCTGGGGCGGAAGTGGGTATCCATGTAAAAAAGTGAATTTCATTGTGCTTTCTATATTAATATTTCTTCACTTAGGGCAGTTATGTTAGTTTAAGAGTTGTTGTAAATTGTGCTTTATAAATAATAATTAATTTCATTACAATATGTATTGGTAACAATCCTCTGTAAAAACTAATGTCCAAATAACTGTATCTCACTTCTATTCTCAATGACCGTGTAGTGTAGGGCAGCGCCGCGAGAATTCCATCGGCATCGAAAGCAAGTTTTAAAACTTGCCTAGATAGCCGAGCGGTCTAGCGCGCTGTTCCTGCACTGCTAGGAGACAGATTCCGAAGGTCGAGAGTTCAACCCCGGGCTGGGGCGGAAGTGGGTATCCATGTAAAAAAGTGAATTTCATTGTGCTTTCTATATTAATATTTCTTCACTTAGGGCAGTTATGTTAGTTTAAGAGTTGTTGTAAATTGTGCTTTATATATATATATATATATATATATATATATATATATATATATATATTATAACATATATATATAGGTCACCCTGTAAGTAAGCTGCCTTTCCCACCAATGTGTATTATTTTTTAGGAACATGATTACTGATAAATATTTTAAAACTATATATTTTTTTCATTTCAAAGGATAAAAACAATTTCTGTTTTAAGAATCTTTTATTACCTGTATAGTCAATTGAAAAGAAGTTTAAATTAATGTACACAATGTATATAATATTTGACATGATCAGGTGTTTTAATTCAGGGTTTGTTAAAGAAAATACTTTGCTGCGAGTGGTATCGACAAGATGAACTAAGATAGGGACCAACGTTATTTTTCAGATACACCAAATGTATTACTTACTCTAATTTAATACTGTAAACCAACTTTTATTCGCGTGCAAGAAATTTTCGCGAGGTTCGCGAGAGCCTCGTCATCGCGAATATTTCTCGCCGCGAACCGGTCCTGAAAGTCTCCGTTGTATTAACAGCAGATTCAAAAAATGTTTGATCGCGAAAATTAATCGTCGCGAACGATTGTACACCCGGTAAATCGCGAAAGAAAGTCGTCGCGAATAAAAGTTGGTTTACAGTATGTGGCCCATAGTTACGGTATTTTACAATCGTTTTACACATTGGCCATAACAACATCTACATTTCATACATTTGTTACAGTACAGATTATATACTTATTGATAACACGAATCAAAAATTTAGTTAAGCTTCATTTTTGAAACAGATAGATGGACGCAATTGCCCAATAGCTACATCGACCATAACATATGTCCCCCATTGTCCAATGAATAAAGCAGAATGGAAAATAGCTGCGACCAAGAAAAATTGTTCTGACATGACCCAAAGTTGTGTGAAAAATGAAGATTTTCAATACCACTGTGTAGTTAATTCGTGGATAAATGCAACTATGGAAGTTTGTGCACCTACTTGGTACTGCATGGGTAAAAATCTTTTTACTGGATGAAAATCTGCTATTCAATTAACTGAAAGTTGACAGAAACAGCTTACCAAAAAGAGACTTACTCACAAAGCATTACTACTCATACCATTAAGTTGTATGATATAGTTTTTTTTTATCTTTTTTTTCTGTGTGTGTATGGTAGGGTGAAATTGGGATGGGTGTAATGCTAGTAAGAATTCTAATATCCTCAGTCAACTGGTACTAACCTTAATTAAAGTAAAGGGATATTTAAACAGTAAAAGCATAATCTTTCCTCAAGTATGAGGTTCACACATTTATAACCTTTAAAGTTTATATATTACTTGTTAAATAACCATGATATAAAACATTTAAAATTCTAAATGATAACATATACCTATATATTAGCAATGTGTTCTCATTTTTGTGTTTTCTAAAAATATTCTTTTTTAGTTAAAAACCATATGACCAAAAAAGAAATATGATTTTAGAAAATTAAATTTGTTTTATAGGGTATTGTGCAGAATTCAATATTCGAGGAGAACGAATCCAAGACAACTTCAACGCACCCTGTACTTCATTGAATAACCCCTGTCCTGCAAGATATTTGTCATCAGAATCATACCTTTGTACGTAAATATTTTTTTAAAGTTATCATTGTATAATTTTTTTAAAAGTATTAGTTTCATCTACTTTATATACATGTAAGATATCATTCCACTTATGCATCAGTGACATGGGTTAAATAATGTATTTTTTCATTTTGATTTTAATCTTTAGGAAATAATTTTAATTATTTTAATAAAGATATTTCAAGTAAAACTATATTTCGCAGACAAGGGGTGTTATGAACTGGTGCAGAAGAAAGATAAAGGAGATATGAATGATGAAGAGAGGTAGTAATTAGTTGTTGTAAGATGGTACTGGATGATATGATATAAAGAACATTTGAATCATCTTTTTTTTCTTTTTCGTAGACATTCTGGACTTAAAGAAAAAAACATTTTGACGACATCTGAAATTTCTGCAATTGCAATAAGTTCTGTTGTGCCATTTATGTTTATTGTCACGACAGCAATTATTTTCGTGAAACGAAAATCAGGCGAGGAAAATGAAGGTAAACCAATTGTATAACTATTAGATACAGTCCATGTTTTAGGGATAAAATTTATCTTAATTAATTTTATATTTTAATCGATATGGACGGAACACCACAGGATCTTGGTTTCGGAAACCAGCTACTATTGGTACCTGTGAATTATCTAGTTTGATACATATTTTTAAAAAAAAACACAATAGAAATAACTTTCTAGAAAGCAGGTTTATCAAATAGTTAAGCGATTGGATTGCTTTTATAGCCGAAAGAGATCAATATCGAAATATTACATGTTAATGGCTGTTTACGTCTTTTTTTCATATACTTGTATCCGAACGATGCATAAAGCTTGGGGAATTATAATTGATTCATACAGCTTATACTCAAATCACTATTTATAATGTAGTGTAAATCTTGTTTAACAAGTAAAAAGCAAATATGAATAGATCCATTAAAATGAATTGAACGGGTGTGACCTAAAACAATTTCTTGATTCCTCCCTATATGCATTTAAGCAAAAGGCAGTTCTACAGCATGGAACCATACTGAACATTAATAATAACGTCTTAATCAAACATTCTATATAAACTGCCTCAGTGATATAAACCAATAGTAGTAACTGTTCTAAACCAAGATTTTCTCCATTCGCACTTTACCAGCAGTGCATAGGAGCATTTTTTTCATACTGCACTGTGTAAATACCTTGAACGTTTCCTGTTAATATTATCGAACAAATTTCATCTGCCTGTACATATAATTATATCTTTGAAATGAGATCAATTAGTTCTTAATCACTACCTTTGTTTACTTAACAAATGATTTTTTTTAAGTTATATTAGAATCAATTTGATATCAATTACATGTACTATATAGGAGAAGTATAATTATTTTCGTAGATCCTTTTCAAAATACTTGTGTGTAGTTTTTGTCCGAACCTTCCTCAACAATGCGAGTTATCTTTCAGCTCTATTTATTATTTTCATTTTGATAAATTCTGTTTGTATTTTCAGGCGGTGGTCTAAGTGGAAAAGAAGAAAACAATACAATGTTTAATCTACAGTTTTCCCATAATATATGACGTAAATCTTAGGATTATTCTTTGAATTGTAAATGTTTCAGAAAACGTTTTATCACTTAAACTTTTCTCCCCCAATAGGTCCTCAGTACCCCCTTGCTTGTCGTAAAAGGCGACTAAATGGGGCGGTCCTTCGGATGAGACCGTATAAACCGAGGCCCCGTGTCACAGCAGGTGTGGCACGATAAAGATCCCTCCCTGCTTAATGGCCCTGAGTGCCGAGCATAGGCCCAAATTTGCAGCCCTTCGCCGGCAATGGTGACGTCTCCATATCGGTGAAATATTCTGGAGAGGGACGTCAAACAGTATACAATCAATCAATCTCCCCCAATTATACAAACATTTTTTGTTGCTATTTATTCAATCATTTTCTTTTTTATCATTGGTATTTATTTCGTCATGTACATCAGAACCACATAATAAATTCCTTTACAAATCCTCCTGCTTCTTTTTTTTTTTTGAAGATGTATTTGGTCTGAACAAAGAAGCAAAAAAGTTAAAGGATTTTAACACCTCACCCCTAGTGTATGAAAACATTAAATTGTGATATTTTGCACTAATCATAATAAGAGACATAATAATATTTACAAAATGGTAACTTTTCGACATAATATAAAAACATTTTTCCGCATTATATAATTCATTAATGTGCATTTATATAATAATTTCCGCATAATGAGCATATTGTTCATGATTCTCTGTAGAATACTTTAATTGTCGTTTCAAACATTTTTGCATGACTAACAGGAAGATTACAAAAATACAAACAATTATCGGAATCAGTAAAAGATACTTCAATGAAAATGCTGATTTTTGACCATCTGTTACATCAGTAGGTGATGTAATACTTTTGGAATTGTCATTCTGTAAAGAAGCATTAAAACTCCAATCCACATCTTCCTTTGTCGAAGTTTTATACCAATCAGTTTTTATCTGTTTGCTTGTTTCTATAATTAAAGTCAAAATAAGTCTTGTACATGTACGTTTAATGTTTTTCAATCACAAAACTACATGTTAAAAAATAAACATTAAACATTTCCTGCTTAAACAATTTAGTTTGATAAGTGAAATACATACGCATTTTATTCCTGGAAAATGTAACTACGTGCAACATACCATGTCTTGTTGTTGTTTTTATACATCCGCTTACAATATCACATTCACTCTCTTCGCAATCACAGTTAAGCTGGCAATCCTTTCCGTATCCAGGATAAACACATGGAATATTACACTGAATACCGGAATATCCGAGGTCACATTCTGAAAAACAAATGCGGCGGTCATGCAAGACTTTTTGACAGAATGCATATCCGTTTTTCAACATGTCTCTATACACACTTCTAACTACTATTGCTTCAGTAAGGTTTTTTTTTTAATATAAAGTTGTTTTTTTAAGTTGACATAACATTCAATTATTTAAACATGTTTAAAGATTCTATTTCATTCAATGCATATGAGGCCATTTGAAATATTTGATATGTGTTGACGTTTGATCTTGGATAGGGAAGTACAATGTTAATGTTATGGATTATGTTTAAAACATGTAGATTAAATCTTTAATTTCTCGAGATGATATTTTCTTGCACATGCTGCTGAATGCTTCTCTTTTTAAAATAATGCCGAAAAATTAAAATTAAACAAAGAAAACAAATACAAACTTAATTGATTTTTTTAGTGATTTTTTTTTTTGGGGGGGGGGGGAGGCTTTACCTACATTTTTTTTACAATTGAAAGACAAATACAAAGTTGCATATTCTAACTGACATCTTACCAACACAGCTGTTTCTTTTTTCATTAAATCTTTTCCCTACCAAACATGGCGGCAGACTAGAAGGAAATTAACATAGGAATATGAACAAAATGGCTTATTTCATTCAAAAGAATGGTTATAAATTAAAGAATCTTACGTTATGTTCCACACAACTGTTAAATGCAGACAAAATATAGGCACACAGTTTTTATACATTCTTCTTAAACTTTCAATCAATTACGCCAACGAGTGATTTTTTTGTGAGTTGCCCAGCTTCAAAATGCATAATCCTGTTTCTATTGATGATGTTTAAAATCGATTACCCATTTCCGATGACATAAGTGATATAAGTGGTTAAAGAAAAAATATGAAAATAAAAAGCAAAGCTTTTGTACAAGAAACTTGTTTTTAAGCTATCAAAAGCACATCTTTAAAAGAGGGTTCAATGTATACCTATTGGATTTATTTTGTAAAAATTCTCCTCTTATTTCTAATTATTTTTTCCAACCCCAAAAAAAATTCCTGTCGTTTAATTTTCGCTATTTTTGTATATTTGATTCATGACTACATCTACTATGTGTATGTACATTTTGGGCAAAATCGTACTAGTGGTTTTTGGACAGAAAGTTGAAAAAGTTGTCCCCATTAGATGTTAACTTTAAAAAAAATGATGCATGTTAAAATTTCCTGTGATGTAAATGGAATAATTATAGTTTCTTACATGTCATTATTTCAAACAAGATAGTGGGCCTATATATGGCCGTGGGGATACATCATTACATATGCATGTACACACCTCACGATATTGTATGCATTCTTTCAATTTCGTTGCTTCTAAAGATAAAATGAAAGTTCAGTTTTTGTCCTCATTAACTTAAATATATCAAACATAAAACTCTTCATCTGTTTTAATTTATATTCATGCACACATTGATATTTAAAAAAATCGTTTTATTTTGATTCGAGGAAATGCGAACCGACATTGTTGACAAGGACAGAACGTCAATAGTATATATATCTCAATTCAGATAATTTCAGTACTAGTAAACCATTCTTTTCAATTATATACCGATACTTACACTGTACATTGTGTGTGTTGGGTGTATATAGTATTCGATTCTCGGATTTCTCTGATCTTTCTGTATCTAATTCTGTGTATGGGAGGGGGGAGAGAAACATATATCAATATTTAAAGTTTGAAAAATGTTTTAACATGAATCTTTATTTGTAGTCGGGCATGATCTTCAAAAAATTTAGATCTCTTAACGTTTTTAGCTCACCAGAGCCGAAGGCTCAAGAGAGCTTTTCTGATTACATTTTGTACGGCGTCCGTCTGTCCGTCTGTCTGTCTGTCCGTCCGTCCGTCTGTCTGTCTGTAAACTTTTCACATTTTCGACTTCTTCTCAAGAACCTCTGGGCCAATTTCAACCAAACTTGTCACAAAAGATCCGTAGGTAAAGGGGATTCAAGCTTGTTCAAATGAAGGGCCACACCCTCATTCAAGGGGAGATAATTGGGAATTAATGAAAATTTGGTGGTATGTTTAAAAAATCTTCTTCGCAAGAACCACTGTTCCAGGAAAGATGAAACTTCTGGGGAAACATCCTTAGATAGTGTAGATTCAAGTTTGCCCAAATCATGACCCCCGGGGTTAGAGCGGGACCGCAATGCCGACCAAAGTTTTATATAGAAATAAATAGGAAAAATCTTTTAAAATCTTCTTCTCAAGAATATCAAAGCCATAATCGATCATATTTATATGGAAGCATCCTCAGGTAGTGTAGATTCAAGTTTGTTCAAATCATGACCCCCGGGGTAGGGTGGGGCCACAACTGCCGACCAAGGTTTTACATAGAAATATATAGGAAAATTCTTTAAAAATCTTCTTCTCAAGAATAACAAAGCCATAATTGATCATATTTATATGGGAGCATTCTCAGGTAGTGTAGATTTAAGTTTGTCCAAATCATGACCCCCGGGGCTAGGGCAGGGCCACAATGGCCGACCAAAGTTTTGCATAGAAATATTAAGGAAAATTCCTAAAAATCTTCCTCTCAAGAATAGCAAAGCCATAATTGATCATATTTATATGGAAGCATTCTCAGGTAGTGTAGATTCAAGCTTGTTCAAATCATGATCCCCAGGGGTAGGGCGGGGCCACAATGGCCCACCAATTTTTTACATAGAAATATATAGCAAAATTCTTTTAAAATCATCTTCTCAAGAATAGCAAAACCATAACAGTTCAAAGGTTTACTTTTTGATTTAAACTTTTCAATAATAAATTTCAATTTTTCCTAGCCACAGTGCTCAGGTGAGCGATGTGGCCCATGGGCCTCTTGTTTATCTATGGTATTCATCATTTCCAATTTTTTACCTGGAAATATATATATCACTTGCACAAAACCTCACATAATCACGTAACTTCACATAAGTATTACCATTTTTCTCCGACAAAGTTCTTTATCATTATCTAACTATGAAATTGAACTTACCGTTTTAGGTCAAAGTTCATTTCTGATTTGGATGTATTACGACTATAGACGATGGTGGACTAATTTTTTTTTTTACTTTTAATTACAAGTACGATTTGTTTTGAAACTAAGACAGACCATTGATATAAAAGTTGACTTTGCAGATAGTTTAACAACCTTTATTAAAGTTGGGATTTCGTTTTTTTTATTGATGACTTTGTTAGCAATTGTAACTTTTCATTGGATCCTATTTCTATCCTATTCCTATATGTTTTCGTCCGTCGTCGTGCGTCATGCGTTAACATATGAACATTTTCAGCTTCTTCTCTGAAACCAATGAAGCAATTTCAACCAAATTTGGCACAAAACATTTATGGGTGAAGGGAAACAAATTGTGAATTTCATGGTCCCTGCCCCCCCCCCCCCCATCCTGGGGCCTGAGGAATTGGGCCAAAACCACTCACAATTAAAATTAATGAAATATTTAAAAATCTTCTTCTTTACTCCTGAACATTAAGCAGTCACACTGTTGGCATGATTGTAATCAGCATTTTGTCATCTACCAAAATTGTGAAATTCATGACCTCAGGGTCAGGGGTTCTAGTGCTAGGGTTGGGCTCTATTGATTATGTAGTGGAATTGCATAAATCCTTTAGAAATCTTCGCCTCTGCTTCTGGGCATTAAATAAACTATCCAAGTACATAGTTATGTTGAATAAGGCTGCTTCTACCAAAATTGTGAAATTTATGGCTCCTGGGTCACGGGTTCTAGTGCTAGGGTGGGGCTGTATTGATTGTACAAAATTTTGTATAGTGAAATTGCATAAATTCTTTAAAAATCTTCTCCTCTGCTCCTGGGCATTAAATTAAATAACCAAGTACAAAGTTATGTTGAATAAGGCTGACTCTTCCAAAATTGTGAATTTCATGGCCCCAGGGTCATGGGTTCTGGTGTTAGGGTGGGGCTCTATTGAGTATATAGTGAAAATACATTAATTCTTTAAAAATCTTCTCCTCTGCTCCTGGGCATTAAATTAAATAACCAAGTACAAAGTTATGTTGAATAAGGCTGACTCTTCCAAAATTGTGAATTTCATGGCCCCAGGGTCATGGGTTCTGGTGTTAGGGTGGGGCTCTATTGAGTATATAGTGAAAATACATTAATTCTTTAAATCTTCTCCTCTCCTCCTGGGCATTAAATAAAATAACCAAGTACATAGTTATGTTGAATAAGGCTTTCTCTTCCAAAATTGTGAATTTCATGGCCGCAGGGTCATGTTTTCTGTTGTTAGGGAGGGGCTTTATTGGAAAGGCTCCCTTTTCCCAATTTGTGAATTTCAGCGCCCCTGGGTCGGGGTTCGGGTGTTAGGGTGGGGCTCTAATAATTATATAGTGAAAATGCATAAATTCTTTGAAAATCTTTTCCTCTGCTCCTGGTTAATATGCCAATAATCTAATTACATATTTAAGGCCAGCATTTATTTTTATTTCCAGGGGCTCGTAACATAAAGCTTGCTAAGTTTTTGACTTAAGTAGGGTCATAAGTACGTTTTAGGCACAATCTTAGGACCTGTCTAAGTACTACTTAAGTATGTCTTAAACCGTAACATAAAGCGAACTTAGGAGGGTCTTAGCTAAGTCAAACTTATGTTCAAAATATTTCTTATGAATCACTCTATATTTTTTTCATTTTATTCAGATATATTGCTACAAAATGATTCGGTTACGTTTTAATTAAATATATATAAAGATTAATGTCCTTACCTATCGTTTTAGTTATGTAAGATTAGATTTTGTATTAAAGATATAATTTAATTTGTTATAAAATACACTGCATGCTTGATTAAGAAAAAATGCATAGCGGTCACAAAACGGTGATCTGTGGTTCATTGTAAATGTATGACTATTGTTTATCCCCCGAACTGCGATGTTTTCAGTCACCGTTTATTGTTCTTTTGTTCTGACAAATGTTCACTTGCTTTGTTATTCTCGTAGACATGACAAGATAACCGAACGTCTGTCTATTTGAAATTAAAACTCTAAAAAAGTACAAAACATTTTGAATCCCCCCACCCCGATGTCTCAGTCCATGTCAGCAAGCAAAGACCGCAGTAGTTATAATTATTTACAATTTCATGAAGAGTGGAAATTATTTCAGATCTTTTTTTCATCTCTCTCTCTCTCTCTCTCTCTCTCTCTCTCTCTCTCTCTCTCTCTCTCTCTCTCTCTCTCTCTCTCACCCACCTAGCTCTGTCTCTTGATCAATCGATCGAACTCTAGAAAACCTTCTAAATACGCGCTTGTCGTTCTACATTTATTTTAATTTACAGACACTCTTTATTAATTTTTTAGATCATCATCCTCTTACTCCCCAACATTTTTCTATGTTTAAAAATCTATTTCATCTCATATTTTCAAAGTCAACATACATGCAGATCCATGAATTAGACTATTATACTGTACTTGTTCAATTTACTTATAATGATTAGTGGATTAGTGTTTATACTGATCTAGGTAGGTCCCACTAATTTCAGACGTATCCCCCAAATTAAATTTTGCATTTATATAAACGGTGTCTTGAGAGTAATAGTGGAATCATTGATCTGTAACCCCCCCCCCCCCCAACCCCGATGCAAAAAAAATTTCATAATAGTATTTACTAGGAATAATTATTTTCTTTAATGCATAATATGAATAGAGGAATGATTTAACATCGAAAGTCAGCATAAAATAGTTCTGAATAGATCTATAAGAAAGTTAAGATATACTTAAGTCACCTCTTCCGACCGCTTAAGTTTTGCTAAGATTGTCAAATCT